ACAAAATTTAACCATTACAGAAATATTTAATGTTGAAAGTAAAAATTTTCCATAATCTACCCTTTAGAGAAAATATATAGTTATATATTTAGATGTTTTTATTTTTTATTAGATGTTAGACGTAAATATTTCCATATTTTTTCTGTACATTTATCCAAAAAACATATCTAATTGTTTAAATTTATTTTAAAAATATATTATTTTAAAATTTATTTTCTTTAGGCTATTTTACTTGTAAACAACAACGTATCTTTCTATTTTTAAAACATTCCTAAATGTAAAATTTTATATTTTTTAAAACTAAGGTTAAAATTACCATGTTTGACCAGGCACAGTGGCTTAAACCTATAACCCCAGAACTTTGGGAGACCGAAATGGATAGATCGCTTGAGCCCAGGAGTTCAAGACCAGTCTGGACAACATGACAAAACCTTGTCTCTGCCAAAAAAAATACAATAATTAGCCAACCTTGGTGGCACCATCTGTAGTCCCAGCTGCTTGGGAGGCTGAGGTGTGAGGATCACTTGAGCCAAAGAGTTTGAGGCTGCAGTGAGCCATGATCGTGCCACTGTACTTCAGCCTGGGAAAGAGAGTGAGACTGTCTCAAAAAAAAGAAAAAAAGAAATGTTCTGTTGCCCTTTCAATTCCTCAGTTTTTTAGTTTATCATGATATAATCCATCCAAGCTGTTGTCAGTAGTTATCTCTGGAGGATAGAATTTTGAGGACTTTATTCTCTGCATTATATATTTCTGTTATACTTTTATTTATTTATTTTTTTGTTTATTTTTAGATACAGGCTCACTCTGTCACCCAGGCTGGCGTGCAGTGGCACAGTCTTGGCTCACTGCAACCACTGCCTTAAGTGATTCTCCTGCCTCAGCCACCCAAGTAGCTGGGATTACAGGTGTGAACCACTACGCCCAGCTAGTTTCTGTATTTTTAGTAGAGATGGGGTTTCACCATGTTGTCCAGGCTGGTCTCGAACTCCTGACCTCAAGCAATCCACCTGCTTCGGCCTCCCAAAGTGCTGGGATTACAAGTGTGAGCCACTGCGCCGAGCCCTGTTATACTTTTAAAAAATTGATCATGTATTCCTTTTGTAATGGGAAAAAATAAAAGTTAAAAAAAAAATCAAAAGCAATAAATAGTTTCCCCTATAATTTCAGAAGTTACATTTCATAATTTCATAAGGGTTGAAATAAATGATTAGTTGTTTTTGACTTTTACAGTTTATTCCTGTGACTTCATTTAAAAATATTAAAATATTAGTGGACATATTCTTTTTTTTTTTTTTTTTTTTGAGACAGTTTCAAAAAAACTGTTGTTTCAACAACTCTGTTATTGCCCAAGCTGGAGTGCAATGGCGCTATCTGGGCTCACCACAACCTCTGCCTCTCGGGTCCAAGTGATTCTTCTGCCCCAGCCTACTGAGTAGCTGAGATTACAGGCATGTACCACCACACTTGGCTAATTTTGTATTTTTAGTAGAGATGGGGTTTCTCCATGTTGGTCAGGCTCGTCTCGAACTCCCAATCTCAGGTGACCCACCCACCTCAGCCTCCCAAGGGATTACAGGTGTGAGCCACCATGCTTAGCCTTAAGTAGACATATTCTTTGAGTGGTTCATCTTACCACAATCATGTATAATTTTATTTTCTTTTTACAAGATGGGGGTCTTGCCATGTTGCCCAAGCTGATCTCCAAAGTGCTTAACAACAAAATAAGTTACACCTATAATTTATAAAACTGTCCTTTATTTTTATTGTTTTCTCGTTTGAGATGGAGTCTGGCTCTCTCACCCAGCCTGGAGTGCAGTGGCACCATCTCAGCTTACTGCAACCTCCCCTCCCGGGTTCAGGTGATTCTCCTGCCTCAGCCTCCCGAGTAGCTGGGACTACAGGCATGCACCACTACGCTTGTCTAAGTTTTGTATTTTTAGTAGAGATTGGGTTTCACTATATTGGCCAGGTCAGTCTCAAACTTCTGACCTTAGGTGATCCACCGGCCTTGGCCTCCCAAAGCACTGGGATTACAGGCGTGAGCCACTGCACCTGGCCAAAACTGTTCTTTAAATGCTTATATGAAGATCTTGTTTCACATAATATATAATTAGAAATAATATTTCTTTTTTTTTATTATTTTTTTATTTTTTTTTTGAGACGGAGTTTCGCTGTTGTTACCCAGGCTGGAGTGCAATGGCGCGATCTCGGCTTACTGCAACCTCCGCCTCCTGGGTTCAGGCAATTCTCCTGCCTCAGCCTCCTGAGTAGCTGGGATTACAGGCAAGCGCCACCATGCCCAGCTGATTTTTTGTATTTTTAGTAGAGACGGGGTTTCACCATGTTGATCAGGATGGTCTCGATCTTTTGACCTCGTGATCCACCTGCCTCGGCCTCCCAAGTGCTGGGATTACAGGCTTGAGCCACCGCGCCCGGCCTTTTTAATTTTTTGAGATGGAGTCTTTGCTCTGTTGCCAGGCTGGAGTACAGTGGCAGAATCTCAGCTCGCTGCAACCTCTGACTCCCTGGTTTAAGCAATTCTCTTGCCTCAGCCTCCCAAGTAGCTGGAATTACAGGCAAGTACCACCACACCTGGCTAATTTTTGTACATTTAGCAGAGACAGGGTTTTACCATGTTGACCAGGGTGGTCTCTATCTCCTGACCTCATGATCTGACCGCCTCAGCCTCCCAAAGTGCTGGGATTACAGGTGTGAGCCACCACACCTGGCAGCATTATTTTTATTCTACATTCTATGATTATACTTTTGGGCTTTGTCTTAAATTAGAGCTATATGTTTCAATATTTTTTTTCTCTAGGTATATTTGAAACCATTCTAAAGATGACTTATTTTTAATGACTTTATTTATTTATTATTATTACTTTTGAGACAGGGTCTAACTGTTTCCCAGGCTTGAGTGTAGTGGCTTGATCTTGGCTAACTGCAGTCTTGACCTCCCAGGCTCAAGTGATCCTCACATTTCAGCCTCCTGAGTAGCTGGGACTATAGGTACGCATCACCATGCCTGGCTTTTTTATTGATGTAAAGACAGGGGTTTGCTATGTTGCCCAGGCTGATCTTGAACTCCTGGGCTCACGTGATCTGCCCATCTTAGCCTCCCAAACTTTTGGGACTAAGGGGTGAGCCACTATGCCCAGCCAATTTTTAATGACTTTAAAATTTACAAATCATTTCTTTTTATTTGTGCTTTTTCTAAGCTGTGTGAATTTTGACCACAGTTTGTTTATTTTACTTATGCAAATCCTCTTCTACTCTACCACTTAGGACACTCTTTCTTGGCATTTTTTTTCTAATGAAGCATGAAGTGTCTTAGCTGTATCCCAAACAGCCAGGCAGCTGTTCTCACCATCAGATTGTGTCTCTCAGGCTGCTGTCCATCATCCTTTTAGTGTTACTAGTTGTATTCTAGGAGAGCTAATTCCTAGTGATGAAGAACCCTGAGGAAAGAGTAGAACAACAGGAAAAATAAATTTAGGCTGTTTTGTTCCGAATTTTTAGTTGTGTTAAATAAAGCGACAAAGAGGTCCTTAAAACTGAAGTCGGCCAGGCGTGGTGGCTCACAGCTCTAATCCCAGCACTTCAGGTAGCCGAGGTGGGATGTTCACATCACAATGTCAGGAGTTTGAGACCAGCCTTACCCACATGGTGAAACCACATCTCTACTAAAAATACAAAAATTAGCCGGAAGTCGTGGTGTGCGCCTGTAATCCCAGCTACTCATAAGGTTGAGGCAGGAGAATCTCTTGAAGCTGGGAGGTGGAGGTTGCAGTCAGCAAAGATCGCGCCATTGCACTTCAGCCTGAGTGACAGAGCAAGATTCCGTCTCAAAAAAAAAAAAAAACTGAAGTCCAGGTGATTAGTGGTAATAGGTAAGAATTTAAAAAAAAAATTTACACATTTGCTTCTTAAGAAATATTAACTTAATTACTTATGCAATCAGTTTAACAACTTTTATTTTTTATTTGCAGAAACCTTATTATCTAGGTCCTGTTGTTGAAAAAAGAGCGGTGCTTCTCTGCAATGGTAAACTAAGGCTCAGTACAGTCGAGCAGACTTTTGGCCTTTCTCTCATTGAAATGCTGCATGGTAGGTCATGTTCAGAAATTGACCCTATCCAACATCCTTGCCTCCTCCACCATCTATTTTAACTTACATCAGTAATGAAAATGAGGGGTACCAACCATTCAGTAATTCACTAGATAGTTAACAAGTAATTTATTATTATTATTATTATTATTATTATTGTTGAGACAGGGTCTTGTTGCCCAGGCTAGAGTGCCATGGTGTAATCATAGCTTACTACAGCCTTGAATTCCTGGCCTCAAGCAATCCTCCCGTCTCAGACTCCCGACTAGCAAGAACTATAGGTGCTTACCACCATGCCCAGCCAATTAAAAAAAAAATTATAGCGAATGGGGTCTCACTGTGTTGCCCAGGCTGGTCTTGAACTCCTGACTTCAAGTGATCCTCCCACTTTGGCCTCCCAAAGTGCTATGATTACAGGCATGAGCCACCACACTCAGCCTTAACAAATATTGTTAATTGCCACCGGGCACAGTGGCTCATGCTTGTAATCCCAGCACTTTCGGAGGCTGAGGTGGGCGGATCACGAGGTCAGGAGATCGAGTCCATCCTGGCTAGCATGGTGAAATCCCATCTCTACTAAAAATACAAAAAATTAACCAGGCGTTGTGGCTCACAGCTGTAGTCCCAGCTGCTCAAGAGACTGAGGCAGGAAAATCGCTTGAACCCGGGAGGTGGAGGTTGCAGTGAGCCGAGATCATGTCACTGCACTCCAGCCTGGGCAACAGAGTGAGACTCCGTCTCAAAAAAAAAAAATTATTAATTGCCTACTGTATACCCAGGCCTAATATAGGTGCCAAAACATGGAAAATATGCACCCTGCCCTTAGGGAACTTACAGCCTAACTGGAAAAGTTAGATGTACATATGAAAAAATTGGAAAAGAGTTAGAAAGCAGTGCTCACTTTGGCAGTACATATACCAAAATTTTGGAACGGTACAGAGAAGATGAGCATGGCCCCTGCACAAGGATGACATGCAAATTCGTAAAGCATTCCATATTTTTAAAAAATTTATTATAAAGCCGGGCGCAGTGGCTCACGCCTGTAATCCCAGCACTTTGGGAGGCCGAGGCAGGTGGATCACGAGGTCAAGAGATCGAGACCATCCTGGTCAACGTGGTGAAACCCCATCTCTACTAAAAATACAAAAAATAAGCTGGGCATGGTGGCACGTGCCTGTTATCCTAGCTACTCAGGAGGCTGAGGCAGGAGAATTGCCTGAACCCAGGAGGCGGAGGTTGCGGTGAGCCAAGATCGCGCCATTGCACTCCAGCCTGGGTGACAAGAGCAAAACTCCATCTCAAAAAAAAAAAAAAATATATATATATATATATATAAAGTTAGCAGTATATAACAACTGCAAGGAAGTAACAGAAAGCCTCATATATTTCTATTGCACTAAAATGTAAAGATCATAGCAGCATTGCAGTATACTTCTTTAAGGAGCTGCCATTCTAATATGAAGCAAAGCTGGACATACAAAGGATACTAAGTGGCAGGGGACTGAGTCATGCCAGTTTCATCAGATGTGGAGCATGGTTGTTTTCTTACACCTCATTCTTGTAACAGTACCACCACATTGAACATCAAATATCATTTCATTTTTTTCCCCTTTTTCCCCACCTGACCCTAAGTGATACCCAGTCTTCCCAATTCCCCATTCTCTGTAAAATCCTGTAAGAATCAAGTTGAATATTATCAACTACTGTATTCCTTCACTCACACAAAAAAAAATGTAGTCATATGTTTCATCATAAGAATTATACATAGTAATTTGCGTATGTATTTTTGTTTGCAGATTCCCACTGGATTCTTCTCTCTGCTGACAGTGAGGGCTTTATCCCATTAACCTTCACAGCCACACAGGAAATAATCATAAGAGATGGCAGCCTGTCCAGGTCTGATGTCTTCACAGACTCTTTTTCTCACAGTCTGGATTCTGCTTCTTCTCTTAAAGTCTTTACAGGCCTCACTGCCCACAATTTAGATATCTCTGGCTCTTCTAACCATGTAGATGGCATGGCCTGATATCTGCAGTGTCCTTGCTGTGTAGCTCTTCAGATGAGACCATTACAAACAAGGCCTGCTTGCCACTGTGGACGCTCACCAGTAAGACTTAGGCGAAGCACTTGCCGTGGTCGGCTCTCCTGTTCTCCCCCCGTTTTCTCTGGGCTGAGGCTCGAGTCTTTGTTAGATGGCTCCAAAAGTGGTGTTTATGTATTCATGACTGTGTGGTTTTGACTAAGGGCAGAATTCCCAGAATAAATTAATATTATGGTGCCATAGGGATTGCATTGTATGGTTTCTCTGAGGTTCTGTGTCCCTTGTCCAAAGCTGCGTTGAAGCTGTCTTAGGAGCACTTAAAAGGCACCTCGGCATTGTTAAACGTCTTTTTCTTGGCTGTAAGAGAAGGATGAAGAGTGCTGCTGGGGGGCATGTGCTCTAGCATATTAGCCTCAAACTAGCAAGAATTAGAGCTCAAAGGAGGACCAGAAACTCACTGGCTTCTGCTCCCAGGAACAGGAAATGGCTCTGATGTTGCCTGGACCTCCCAGAATTTAAACCTAACCCTCTTGCTTCCTTAATAAATTCTGGCCGACAAAGGTCCAGACACTCTTAAAAACTGGTCCTGGGAAAATCTTGAATGAAATTTCAAGTGAATTTGTCTTCTCTGGGCATCACTTGAGGTTGTGCCGATGCTGCTGTCGAGGCCAGGCGAGTCCTACTGTGGAATTTTGTGCTGTGGCCACTCATGAGTGTCCCTGAAATACGTTTTTTGTTTGTTTGTTTTTTCCCATCCAGTTTTGGGATCATACAACTTTCCTATTTTTCTCCCAATAGTCCGCTGCCTTAATTAACTTGTCACTTTAATTTGATATTTTTATTTTCTCTCAAGTCTTAGAGACCAGCATAGAATCTGTCAGAGAAAATATTTCAGTAAGTTGGAAATTTAACTGAATCTGAGGTAGTTCTAAACAGTGCCATTTTGTTTCACTTATGGGCTAAAGTACCAGCTTAGTCAGGTAAGAGCCCTGACCCCCTTCAGATGGACACACCACTTCTCACTGCCTTCAGATGAATCACAAATTTTCAGTTACTGCAGAACAAATTGATCAGTGTGTGGCTAGGCATCTGCAGATAAACTGTTTCAGCCACAGAAGCTCCATTAGCACATATGCTTCCTTTTCCCCCCTTCCTTTAAGATCATCTGGAAAGAAACTGTTTTGTGCCCTTGGGGACTCCTGTCTGTCTGTTACAGTTTACCAAGATGGAGCTGGGTTAGGAAAGAAGTGAGGGCCTATTTTGTAGTTCAAGTGCACTAGACAGCTGCTGGGATAATGGAAGCAGAGGCAGTGTCTGTAATCAGATGTGGGAGAGCAGTGACTGAGAACAGTCTTGAGGCCTGGCTCCACTTCCAAAGGAAGTATCTGGGGTGCGTTGAAATCACAATTATCTTAAAGCCTAAAGAGAGGACTGCAGGACTGTTAAATCAATGTGGGCGCCTAAAGGGGTATGTTACAATTACCATTTCTCGGGTCAAAATACTGTGAATAAGTCTTCAATAAAATCACTGATGGTTATTGTGGCTGTTTGGATGTTCGGTAGCATTTTCTTTGTGATTATTGCTGGTATAGAGGAACCAGCGATAATCTTGATGTTATATATGCATATGTTGTCTTTGTATTCCTTCTGCTGGCGGACAGTCCAGAATAGAAATGATTCTTTACAACAAATCTGATTCCATGACAACTCTCATGCAAGAGATGTTTCCTTGGCCTCTGCTATTCTTACGGTCATTGGAACAATAGAAAATAATCCCATATTTGCTGGCTTTGGAGGCAGGCAGAGAAGAGCTAAATTCTTCAAAGTATTGTTTAATGTTCTGAAAATATTTTACATAAAAATATTTTTACAAATCCCATTTTGCAGTCAAGTTTTTCTAAATTCTGAATGGGTATTATGTGATACGTATTACATATATATGTATATAAGGTATAGGAAGGCTTAATAATAAAATGAACCACCCATGGCCTAACTTAAGAATCGGAACATTACCAGAAACCACTGAAGCTCCTGTGTGTCCCTCCTTGTTCCTGTCCCCATAGCTGTGACCCAGAGGTAACTATCTTGATTGTTGTAATAATCATTTCTTCATTCCTTTTCTTTCTTTATAAAAAGGAGTTTATATACACATTGGCTGAAAGAATATGTTTATTTTTGCTTGTTTTTGAGGTTTATACAAATGGTACATATTGTCTGTAGTCTTTGGTGTCTTGCTTTTTATTTACTCAGCATTGGTACTAAGATTCATCCTTGTTTTGTGCATGTTATATTATTTTCACTGTTTTGAATTGCCACAATTTATCCATTTTCCTACCATGGACATTTGGATTGTTCCTTGGATTTATTTTTGAAGTTATAAACAATATTGCTTTGAATACTCTTGTCAATGCCTCTTTATCCAAGTGTTTGAAAAGTCTCTTTAGGGTCTTTTACCTGCAAATGAAATTGCTGGATCCCAGGGTATTCACCTTGATGAAATAATATACCAAATTATTTCCTAGATGGTTACATCACTTTTATTCCCAACAGCAAAGTATCAGAGCTCCTATTCTACAGTCTTCATTTGGGACAGTCTAGGAGTTTTAAATGCTGTCTCACTGTGATCCTTATTTTTATTTATTTTATTTATTTATTTATTTTGAGACTCAGTCTCGCTCTGTTGCCCAGGCTGGAGTGCAGTGGCATGATATCAGCTCACTGCAACCTCCACCTCCAGGGTTCAAGCAATTCTGTCTCAGCCTCCCGAGTAGCTGGGATTACAGGCACCCACCCCCACGTGGGCCTGGCTAATTTTTGTATTTTTAGTAGACATAGGGTTTCACCATATTGGCCAGGCTGGTCTCGAACTCCTGACTTCAAATGATCCACCTGTCTCAGGCTCCCAAAGCACTGGGATTACAGGCATGAGCCACCATGCCCTACCCCTTATTTTTACTTACAGACTAGCAGTGAGCTTTAGCATCATTCAGATGTTTATTGGCCATTAAAGTTTTCTTTTACAAAATTCTTGATTATATCATTGTCTCAATTTTCATTCTGGTAATGTTCCAGAATTCTTTAAATATCTAGATGTTGCTAGTATCTTCATCCACTTTGTGGACTCCTTTTTGTCTTTTCCTCTGTCTCTGTCTTTTTTTTTTTTTTTTTGTAGAGAACAGAGCAGGGTCTTTGTTGCTCAGGCTGTTCTTGAACTCCCAGGCTCAAGCCATCATCTCCTGCCTCAGCGTTTCAAAGTGCTTGGATTACAGGCATGAGCCACAGCACCTGGCCTTTTCTCTTTTTTTTTTTTTTTTCCTGAGACCTACTCTAACTCTGTCACTTGGGCTGAAGTGCAGTGGCATGATCACTGCTCACTGCAACCTCTGTCTCCTGGGTTCAAGAAATTCTCCCACTTCAGCCTCCTGAGTAGCTGAGGTAGTGTGCACCACCTCGCATGGCTAATTTTTGTATATTTAGTAGAGACAGGGTTTCACCATGCTGGCCAGGGTAGTCTCGAACTACTGCCAGCCTCTTTCTTTATACCTTGTATGTTGGACAAATATCTTAATATTAAGGAAGCCACACATTTATCTATCTTTTATGGAAGTTTTGTCTTCACATTTATGTCTTTAATCAGTATTCTGCTGGATAATTTTATTTGTTTGGGGTGGTAGTGTTGTTTTGAGACAGAGTCTTGCTCTGTCACCCAGGATGGAGTTCATTGGTACAATCTCGGCCCACTGCAACCTCCACCTCCCAGGTTCAAACCATTGTCCTGCCTCAGCCTCCTGAGTAGTTGGGATTACAGGCACCTGCCACCACACCCGGCTAATTTTTGTATTTTTAGTAGAGTTGGGGTTTCACCATATTGGCCAGGCTGATCTCAAGTGATCTGCCTGCCTTGGCTTGCCGATTGCTGGGATTGCAGGTGTGAGCCACTGAGCCCAGCCTCTGCTGATAA